TGTCCAATCCATTTAGTTTCACTTAAACTCACAGTAAAGGTCACTGGATAGGATAAGAAAAAGATAAGTTTAGGGGTAAAGAGGAAAATAATGATTCTGTGAGAGGTTGTGTTCATAAGAGAAGGTGATTGATTTACTGGAATATTTGTATTAACAGCCATAGCCTATGTCTGACTATGAAGTATATTTTGAATAATCTTTTACTTAAAATTGTTTGCTGCCTAATGTCCCAAACCAGAATAGCAGTGTACCTCATTAAAATACATAGACCCCCCCCATAAACCCTGTTCTTTAGAGGATGGAATTCCGTAATTATCAGTTGGCTCCTGGATCCCATCCAGTGCATTATAGCTTTTGAAGGCTAGCAAGATTTCACTTTAAGGTGGTTCCATGTTTAAAGTTTGAGCAAGGTTTCGGGATAAGTTTTCTTCATTTTTTAAGTGTTTCTTTTGGTATAAATGATATGGACTCATAAAAATTTCAAACTACATGAAGATATACAGACCTACATGAAGAAGAAAAAAAGGCATTCCTACACCTATATATGAGCACTATTGATATTTTGATGAAAAATCCTTCTAGATATCTTTCCAGGTAGTTGTACAGTACACATATGCGTTTTGTTACTCTAAATAGAAAGGGCTACAGTGATGCTTTTAGGATGGAGACAGCCCCCTTCACTTTTAATAAGAGTGGTTAGTACATAGAAGAAAGAAAATTAACTTCTATACCTAAAACACTGCAGACATCAGTGTTTAATTAAACATTTTTAGGATGATCTTTTTCAGGAAAAATGAAATAATTCTGAAATGTATTGAGGGTTCTGAGTGCACATGGGGGTATAGAGGCTTTGCTTATTCATCCAAGTATCCAGGTTAAAACACTGTGGCAACTTGGAAGATCTAAGTATAGGACTAAAACAGCACCATTAACTCTCCATCTTCCCATATCTCAGGCAAATTAGAAATAGATGTCTATTCATAGTTCTTCAGCCATTATAAATGGCCAGGTAGATGGGGGTGGGTATCATTGTTGTCAACTCAAATGAAACTCATAGCTCTCTGAAAAAAGCCATGCAATAGGCAATGTATGTATGTCTGTTTTATTTAAATACTAGAGACCCAGTGCACGAATTCATGCACAGGTGGGGTCCTGCTTGGGCGGGGGGCTGCTGGAGGTTGGCCGGCTGGCCCCGCCCCTGATCAGGCTGGTTGGCCGGCCGAGTGCAGGTCATAGCGACTGGTCATTCCTGTCCTGTTATTCCAGTCACTTGGCTTTTATTTATATATATATAGATGTGTGCAGTGATCAGTTCAGTGATACTGTGTGATTGAATGAACTTCGGAGTAGATCATGAAGGATCCTTTCCTAACCATTATAATATTCAAGATTAGTCATTTAGAATGTCTTTAAGTTCCCTCAATTGGTAGCCCAATAGTTGGTATACTGCCTTAAATAGTTCAAAAGGCAAGTCTCTGCCATTGGCAGTGACTGGAAACTGTAGGAATTTCTGCCAAAGTTCTTGTGATCTAATCCTCTCTTGGAAGTACAAAGCTAAAGCATGCATTGAAATGCCTGAGTCAGCCACTCAAGGGATATACTGGCTGCAACCCTGCTCATTTTTCTGGGATGAAAAAATCTGCTTGGTGACCTGAGACAGCTAGTTAGCTTTAACTCTCTCCACCTAGAAATACATGTATTATAACTGCATAGAAAGCGCAAGCGCGCGCGCGCATACACACACACACAAACACACATAAACTATATCTAAATGTTGTCATAATTGAAAAAGGACCCTTTATGATCTCTTATATTTTCTAGAGTTATGCTTAATTTCAGCAGATCTTGTTTAGTAACTTATAAGAAAATAACTTCACCTCTTCTATTGATTGCTGTTTAAAAATTTTAACTTCTCCAACTTTCTAATTTAGGGAAGGAAAAGAAAGCCACCTACTATTTATTGAATGTTTAGTATATGCCTGGAATTGTTACTTGTGTAGTGTTAACTCCTATTTTATAGATGAAGACCTCAGAACAGGCAAGTGAGGTCACATAGCTCTGAGGTGGCAAGCACAGTTAGTATTTGAACCAGGTCTGTATGATCCCAAACGCCTCTCTACCACCACATCATGCTATAAAATGAACTGTAGAATGTTAATATAAAAAACTATTATCAATATTATTAAGTAAAAAATACAAGGTGCAGAACAGTAAGCATAATATACTGCCGCTATGTGAAATGTGTGTGTATACATATATTCACGTGTGTGTGTCTGTTGTACATATGCTTAGAACGTCTAGTACAGTGGGGCCTTGACTAACGAGTTTTTTGAGATACCAGCTGTCTCTTGGCCCATTTTTTGCATTGAGTTGATAGAGTAATTTGAGTTAACGAGCTCGGTCTCGGAACAAATTAAACTCGTAAGTCAAGGCCCCACTGTATATCTCTGGAATACCATACAATGGTTGGACCCTGGGATGGGGAACTGTGTTGCTAGAAAGCTAGACTTTTTATTATAAAATCTTTTAAACAGTTGAATTTTGTCATATATGCATACATTTGATTATTTTTTAGATTTAGTAGTTTATTAGTAAAGTTTCATAAGCATAAAGCTTCTAATGCTATAAAATGTTAATGCTAGCTCTTATGATACTGATAAGCATTGATAATGATCATATCTTTCTAGTTTTCAATTCCCATCATCTACTCTTATGACCTACCACTTTGGAATTTGAAAGGGAGATAAAATATTGATATAACATATAATTGATGTTAGCAGAAATAATGGTGACTGATTCATCTACATTCAACTATTTATTTACATTTTTAGTGCTATTTAAGATTTTAATAATCTTTGGTTTATCTATTTTTTGAAACAAGAACATCATGCCTCAAATACAGTAGTTGCCAGTCATGACTGAGGTAAAAGAAATCTATATATATAAAAGGCTAATATGCAAAGTGTCCGACCGTCCAACCAGTCTCTATGACTGGCACTGACCACCAGGGGGCAGACACTCAACACAGGAGCTGCTGTGATGCACACTGGCCACTTACAGAGAAATGGCACTGCGGACCTGGCACCCACAAAACAATACTCGGCTTCCCCCAAGTGGGACACAGGCCCCACCACCACCAAATTGCAGCCCACACTGCCGAGACCCCATGGTGCAAAATGCAGCCCACAGCCCAGCCCAGCCCGAAATGGTCATTGTGGGCGCCGGGTAATGACGTCACGTAACAAAGCCCGGCTTCCTCTCCCTAGCGACTAGCCTCTTTGGAGTTTCTTCAGCCCAGGAACATCACTGCTTTATAACCAGGTGCATACATTTCACACTTTAACCAAATGTCTGCGAAGCATTTTCCCTGTGCCTCATCTCATTTGATCCTCACAGAAGTCCTGGGGTAGGTAGATAGGAGACTCAGTGGAATCCTGTTTTCTTTTCATTAGCCGGAAAACAGAGATTTAGAAAGCTTAGAAACTTGACCCAACTGAAAAGACGTAAGAAATGGTGAACCTTGAAAATGACTTCAGGTTTTCTCACTGTGCAGAATATAGTCAAACACTGCTGCAGTTAAATATTTTACCCTTTGTTCTCCCTGTGTGATCTACAATAATAATCTGCTTCGTGTTGATATTTACTGTTGCTGACAATTACCTGAAAGAGAAGTTGGGGTGCTTCACTGGGCTGGGAAAAGTTTAGCTAAATCAAAAAGCAGGTCTAATTAAGCAAGTTTATCTATATATATATAAAGCTCTCGCTGGCGCCAATCTCATGCGTGTGTTTCAATCTGTCATTGTCGATCGTGAATTTAATTGACACTTCTATTATAGAAAAAGGGCGAATAGCGATATTAAAATATTTCTTCTAATTAATTTCCTTTCAGTGTGCACGAATTCGTGCCCTGGGCCTCTAGTATTTTATATGGTTCCTAAAATTGAACTTAAAAGAAAAAAGTTTCCCATCTATTAAAAGCTATATTTTAATTTGGGGCTACCATTAATGGAAATACCTTACCTTGAATATGCTATTTTTGTACTTGTTTTCAAAATTGTAATGATCTGTTTACACAGTTGTCTTCCTTAGTAGACTGGTCATTCCTTGAGGGCAGGGTCCATGCCTCATTTGTTCTTGTTTCTCAGGGCCTCGCCTAATGCTTGACACTTAGTAGGTAGCTAAGAATGTTGATTGAATTGAATCAAATTGAACTAGAGATACTTAGCTTAGTCCAGTTAAGAGAGCGAGAAATCATCTCATTCTTCAGATAGTTGAAGGTGTTCTCTCATTTGGAAGAGAGTGCTCTATATGGCTTCAGTAAACAGAAAAAACAATGAGTGAAAGTTTCAAGATGTTTCTAAATGTTGACTCATCTAAATGTAGGTGGCGCTGTCTCAGGAGGTACTGAATCTATCACCAGGAGATTCATTCATGGCTAGTCAACTCCCAAGACAATTTAAGAATTTAATTATTCATTTGTTTCTTCACTCATTTGTTGAAACATTTGCTGAACAGACACTGTTCTAGACGTTGGATGCCAAGATTGAATAAATCATAATCCCTGCTTGGGGAATTCAACAGCCAGCAGGGGAACAGAAGTTTAAGCAAAGGATTACAACACAGGGTTCTAAGAGGATGTTGTTGTAGAGGTGTAATAGTCATACCCTGGAGAGAGGAGGCAGAAAATGCTGCTGAGGAGGTGACTCTTGAGTAGAGTTGATCAGGCAGACCAAGGGGGGAAGGAGTGTCCTAAGAAGACAGAACAATACATACATAAGCTCAGAAGTTAAAGTTTTTAAAATAGAGTATTGCTATTTCATTTGTACTACATGCCCTTAAAGGACCCTCCAATATTAAGATTCTGTGTGCTGGCTCTTTAAATTAATGTTTTTGGCTTTGTTTTTTACTTTATGCTAGATATTGCATGAATGTTGCATTTTAGTTGTCATTTTTTATAGGAAGCAAAAATACTAACCTCCTTCTTTGATTTTTGTTCACAGTCAAATTCATCCGAGAAGTAACGCCATATATCAAGAAGCCATCATTAGTATCAGATCTGCCATGGGAAGGTGCAGCTCCCCAGTCACCAAGCTTTAGTGGCAGTGAAGACTCTGGTTCTCCAAAACACCAGAACAGCACCAAGGACAGGAAGGTCATTCCTCTCAAAATGTGCTTTGCTGCTAGAAACCTAAGCATGCCGGATCTGGAGAACAGGTGAGCTGTACCTAAGCAGAACGTTGTACTTAAAGACATGTTGCAATATCATTTTGCAGTAACATGACTGACTAAATTTCACAGAGGGAAACATCAGTCTGAGATAAGAAAATAGTTTTTGGCATTCCATATTTAAATTACTTCATACATATGTGTACAGTACATATATAGAAAATTTGGGGGCAAACAGACAAGAAGCTTAATGGTGGATACTCCTGGGGAGTGAAATGGGATTGGAAGGAAAGAAGGGACTTATGGTCTTCGTTTTATACCTTTCTGGAATGTTAGTATTACTTTTTTCACTATGAACGTTACTTTGTAATTGAAATAATTTTACTAAAGTGATTTTTTTAATGTTTGTTTAGATGTAAGTTCCTTATACTGTGGGTGTGTAAAGAGTCAGAGATCTGCATTATAGACCTGACTATCAACTAATAATGTGACCCTGGCAAGTTAGCTTCTCTTGACCTTAGTTTCCTTGTTTGTAAAATGGGAGAGTTGAATTGGATAATTTCTAATGTCCCTCCTAGTTCTATAAACATTTGGTTTCTATGAGTTTGTCTTCATTAACTCCATGAAGTGGTACTGGTAAACCTAGTGTTAGGTTAGGGATTAGGGGGGGCGGTGGGGGATAAACTTGTCCAAAGACATAGGTAAGGATAAACTTTTTATTATGAGCTTTCACTTTCATGGTCTCCTCCAGTCTGAATGCAGGGCCAGGTACCTGATCAGATGGAATGGATCATAGAAGACAGCAAGTAGCTGAGTGACTTTCTTGGGCATTTTAGACCACAGGGACATTAAAGCTCCTGCTCTATAACATGTGGTATGGTATGCCCTAACGAACTGAGCTCTGCAATCAGACAGACCTTGATTTGAATCCCACCTAGGTACCCGCTCAAAGGAAGGGTCTGAGCAAGTTCCTTCATCTCCATAAACTGCCATATCTTCATCTGTTCAAAAACACACCCAAAAGCATAATAATTAACTCATTGTGAAGATTAAATATGAAGCCCTTTGCATAGAGTCAAGCATATAGTAGATTCTTTAAAAATAGTAGCTGTAAAAAGTATTTAAAATGTCTACACACTTTTAAAATTATATTCTGATATATTTGTATTGTTTTTGTTGCTTTTTTATTTATTTCAGAGAGAAAGGGAGAGGGAGAGATAGAAACATCAATGATGAGAGAGAATCATTGATTGTCTGCCTCCTGCACGCCCCCTACTGGGGATCGAGCCCACAACCCAGTCATGAGCCCTTGGATTGAACCCGGGACCCTTTAAATAAGTCCCTTAATTTCTCTGTCCTCCTGTTTGTATTTTTCTGTTTATAAAATGGACTAATACCTGCTCAACTATATTCTTTAGAACTATTTCAATGATAAATAAGATAATATCTATAAGATAATATCTATAAAATCAACTGGACCTTTTGATCCTTAAATTTATCTCCACTTGGTCAGAGGAAGTGTCATGGCAGGTGACACAGCTGCAACATTTAAAGCCATGCGAAAAATCACAATTTATGTAGGAACAGCAAAAATAAGTTTCATCAGGACATCTGTCATCAAGACACTAGTCAAATTGCAGCTTTATTTAGATGACTGTGTTTCTGTTTGAAAATCTTTATCTTCCATAGTCTTTTGTAAAACTCTGAGCAAGAAATAGGCTTAGATGTTCCCTAATCTGGAAAATACTTTGGAATCTGTTTTTAAGCCGTAAGTAGGCATGTGGTTTCTCATCATCCCATCATTCTTCACTTCCCCCTAATATTATATTATGAAAATCTTTCAACACGTAGCAAAGTTGAAAGGATTTTATAGTCAATGCCCATTTTTCCACCACTTAGATTCTACCATTAACATTTTACTCTATGCTTTATCACAGTTTTTATAAAATGCATTTTAGAGTGAATTGCAGGCATTAATATATTTTCCTCTAAATACTTAAGCATGCATATAAATAACTAGAGTTCAGTGTTTTTTATAGTTTTTTTCCCCTTTTGGGCCAATATTTACATACAATAAAATGCATAAATCTTAAGTTTTGACAAATGCATACAATTATATAAGGCAAGCCTATCAAGATACAGAACATTACCATCATCCTGGAAAGTTTTCTTGTGCCCCTTCTCAGTCAGTTGTCTCTCCCACCTCCCAAGGCAACTACTGTTCTGATTTTCTAGCATGAGATTAGTTCTAACTATCCTACAACTTTATATAAGTGTATTCTTTTGTGATAGAATTCTTTTGCTCGTCATAAGGTTTTTGAGACTCGTCCATCTTATTGCATATATTAATAGTTCTTTCTCTCTGTTGCTGAGTAGTATTGTGTTGTATGAATGTATCACACTTTATCTTTATTTTTGTATTGATGGATACCTGAGCTATTTCCAGTTTGGAGCTGATATTAATAAAGTTATCGTGAATATATTTTTTTTAAATCCTCATCTGAGGATATTTTTTCCATTGATTTCTAGAGAGAGTGGAAAGGAGGGAGGAGAGAGAGAGAGAGAGACCCTTTGGTCTGTGGGCTGACACTCTAACCATTGAGCAAACCAGCCAGCGCTATTGTGAATATTTTTCTATAACTTTTATTGTGGGCATACACTTTCATTTCTCTTGGGTAAATTCTTAGAAGTGGAATTGCTGGGTCAAGGGGTAGGTATATGTTTAGTTTTTTAAAAAACTGCCAGACTTTTTCCCAAAGCGGTTGTGCCATTTTACATTCCCACCACCAGTGTAGGAGAGTTTCTGTTGCTTCTCATCCTTGCCAGCATTGGTGATGGCACTCTTTTCAATATTAACTATTCTGGTGGGTATGTAGGAATCTCTTTGTGGTTCATCTTTTACCTTCTAATTGAAACAGGTATTTGACACAAGAGGGAAGCATCCTTTTCTTCTGTTTTACTACTTTTATTTAGTTTCATATTCACTATCCAGAGCTGGAAAAAAAAGTGCTGACCATCAGAATGAGTACATAAGGAGGAGGAAGTGTATTCTCTTCTCCACCTTGAGTTCTCAAGACCTCACTAGATGCTTCTGATAGTTATAAACAGTTAATTCTGGAAAGTGAAAGCTAAATAAATAATGATGACGTTCAGGGAGAGAACATGAGCCCATTCCTTAGCAAACAGCCATGTGGGCAGTGTGGAGTTTAGTAAGGACAAGGTGTTCTTAACACTGCTTTTTGGAAATGTACATCTGTTTCCTTAGAGTTGGTTCACAATGTCTTGTTCATCTTCACATTGGCTGTTTTCCATGTAAAAGGTAAATTTTGGTTTTATGACACATAAAACAATATAATTACTACTAAATTGAGCACATAAGTTATATCAGAGACTTTACTAAACAGGAGAAATAAGCAGGCTAGACTTATAGAATCCTATGCTTCCGTGTATCTAGATATTGATTTGATTCATATGATCAGAATGGAATTGCATTTCTCAGGAAATCCTCAGTGGTTTGACTAGAAGCCAAAACTGTTCACACTGTAGCTGTTTCCTCCTCTCTCCTGTGGACCCAAACAATTACTGGCAGACTGCCTCCAAGTTTTTTTTTAGGAGAGTTTTCATATGAATTTTTCTTTTAAAACAGCAATAGGCTTTAGGAAATCCGTTGTCCCCTTTGTCAGGTGTAGGGGAGCTTCCTCTTCAAAGGCAGATTCTTCTGGATCCTAGAACCATCAGAATTTTGGAGTTTCTTTTCTGTTTCTTCTCATTTAATTTGCTATTTCACAATCCCTTTTTAAAAAACACCGCAGAATTTCTCTTTTCATGAAATACCAGTGATCCTGCCCTGAAAACTAATTTATTGCCTATTTTCACCTTTTTCCAGCCTACTGGACTTTGTTAATCAAACTTAATTTTATTTTATAACAGACTTACTTTCCATTCCTCCAGTTATTAATAACTAGGGTCTTTGATGTTAGGATGTTCAGAGTTCAGAGGCTGTTGGAGGAGATGTGTCTGAGAGACTGTCAGGAACTGTATGAGGTGAAAAGGCCTTTTCAGAAGGTGAACGTTTCGTACCCAGAGAAGGATGAACTGATTCCTATCTGTAGTGCTAAGTAGGCCAGGAGGAGGAGTGAAAGAAATTTCTTGTCATGGTTTTAGGACTGAACTTTTAGCGTGTGTCTAAGGATGGTAAGCTGCTTACAGGGACCAAAGCAGCAGGTAGGAATAATTAGCCCCTTTATAAAGCAATCAGCGAGGTAGAGGATCTGAGTTACGGACATCACCAGCTCTTCCACCCAGTTAGGTGAGATGAGTGTGGGTTTGAATCTTTTGCTGTTTGAGGGTGGGGTAGTCACTGGCCTCTGGGTGTGGGGAACGCTGGCACAGGCTTTCAGCCAGACCCTTTATTTTAACTGTGTGCTTTACTTCTACGGTCAGAGGTACCTGGTGCCTCCAACTCCTCAGCCTCTTTGGGATTCTACACCATGGATTGGCTGGGAGTTGGCTCTCCCCACTTTTTTTAGGTCTGATACATCATTTAACTCCTTTGCCTGCTTGCCAATTTCCAAAATTTTGTAGTGCTTCTCTTCTTTTCTCCATGAGCGTCTAGGATTGTGCTTTTTAAAAAAATTCCTTTTAAAGGTTCCTGATGACTTCTTAGATACAACACCAAACTCACAGTACATAAAAGAAAAATTTTATAAGTTGACCTTTATTAAAATTAAAAATTTCTGCTCTATAAAAGGCACTGTATATTAGGGTTCTCCAGAGAAACAGAACAATAGAAAAGATGGATGGATGGATGGATGGATGGATGGATGGATGGAAGGAAGGAAGGAAGTTTTTTTAGGAAGGAAGGAAGGAAGGAAGGAAGGAGAGAGAGAGAAAGGAAGGAAGGAAGAAGAGAGAGAGAGAGAGAAAGGAAGGGAGGAAGGGAAGGAAGGAAGGAAGGAAGAAAGAAATAGATTAATTTTAGGAATGGGTTCATGAAATTATGGAGTCTAAGAAGTCCCATGATCTGCTGTCTGCAAGTTGGTGAAACAGGAAAGTCAGGGGGGTAATTCAGTCTGAGTTCAGAGGCCCACGGATCAGGAGTGCCAATGTACGAGGATAAGAGAAGATGGTGCCCTGGCTGGTTTGGCTCAGTGGATAGAGCGTCAGCCTGCGGACTGAAGGGTCCCAGGTTCGATTCCAGTCAAGGGCATGTACCTTGGTTGCGGGCACATCCCCAATAGGGGGTGTGCAGGAGGCAGCTGATCGATGTTTCTCTCTCATAGATGTTTCTAACTCTCTGTCCCTCTCCCTTCCTCTCTGTAAAAAAAATCAATAAAATATATTTTTTTTAAAAAAGAGAGAGAAAATGGATGTCCCAACTCAAGCAGACAGCAAATTTGCCCTTCCTCCGCCTTTTTGTTCTAGTCATGCCCTCAGTGGATTGCATGGTGCCCACCCAAATTGGTGAGGGCCATTCTTACGTAGTCTACTGGTTCAAATGCTAATGTCTCCCAGAAACACCACAGATACACCCAGAAATAATGTTTTAGCAGCAATCTGGTCAAACTTTATTTAAGGATGACACATAAAATTAACCATTATACACCATTAGAGACTGAGAAGAAGCCACAGAATGGGGGGAAAAATCTTTGTAAAATGCAGATCAGATAAAAGACTGGTACCCAAATAAACAAATTCTTAAAGCTCAACAATAAGAAGCCAACCCAATTTAAAAAATGGGCAACAGATCTGAAGAGACACCTTACCAGAAGAGAAATAGAGAAATACAGTTGGCAAATAAGATTATGAAAAATGCTCAACATCATATGTCATTAGAGAATTGCAAATCAAAACAATGAGATACCACTGCACACCTATTAAGATGGCTAAAATTAGGGCAACAGTAACTCTTTTTAATCCTCACCTGAGGGTATATTTCCATTGATTTAGAGAGAGAGAGAAATATCTCGATGGAGAGAAACATTGATCATTTGCCTCCCGCATGTACCCCAACTGGGGATTGAACCTGCAACCCAGATAAGTGCCCTGACTAGGAATTGAACCCCCAACTTTTTGGTGTATGGGATGACGCTCCAACCAACTGGGCCACCCATCCAGGTCTAGAGCAACAGGAACTCTTATTTGTTGCTGGTGGAAATGTCCAATGATCCAGCTGCTTTGGAAGACACCTTGGCAGGTTCTCACGAAGCAAAACAGGGTCTTACCATTTGACCCAGCAACCATGCTCCCTAGATGCTTTACTACATGGCTAACTCCATTGGGAAGGCATGTGAGTGGGTGAATAGATAGGTACAGGTAGGTGTGTTTATAACCTGTCTCATAGCATAACACCTGCTTGGGGGAGGTGCCCAGAGGGATAGAGGCCTCCATTGCAGTTCTGCTTTGCCACTACCACCTTCAGAGTGCCTTTTTTAGATAAGAACTTCATAGTAGTCTTCATAGTCCTGAATAGAAGCACTTTTTATAACCTGTAATTGTGTGTTAATTGTTTACTTTTCTGCCTTCCCCATTAGACTATAGACCCAGTGAGGGTAGAGACTATTTTTTTCATCACTGTATCGCCAATAGCAGTATCTACCACAGTATCTGGTATGTAGAGTAGGTGCTCAATAAACGTGTGTTCAAGAAAGATAGACTAACCAGTTTTCAAATGAGAGTGAATATTTGCCGTATTAAATGTGGCAAATTTAAATATTGGGCAAATGAGAGGAATACAAGCTTCAAGGCAGAAATGCCAGTGTAGCCCAGCCGGTATTGCTCAGTGGTTGAGCATTGACCTATGAACCAGGAGGCAATGTTTCGATTTCCTGTCAGGGCACATGCCTGGGTTGTGGGCTCAATTCCCAATAGGGGGTGTGCAGGAGGCAGCTGATCCACGATTCTCTTTTATCATTGATGTTTCTCCCTCTCTCTTCCTCTCCCTTTCTCTCTGAAATCAATTTTTAAAAAATTTTTTTAAAGAAATGTCAGTGTACATGTAAACCGCTTATCTTTGGCGGGAGTTGTAGGATCTGATAGCAGTGCTTCAAGGCAGCAAAAACTGTCTTTAGGAAGACAGTGGCAATTCATCAATTTCTAGTCTACCATGAGAAGCACTCCTAAGAGCTTTTTTTTTTCCATTTTGAGAGAACTGTTAGAACACAGCAGTGTGTATATATATTAGTCATTTATTTATTTGACTTTTTAAAGTCATCTTGACAAAAATTTTGGCCAAAACACAAAACAGTACCCAATAAATTGCTGTATACATAATTTGTTCAATGTACTTTTAAAAATTTTTAACTAATTTCTAAAGGTTACTTTTGAAGTATATAAATTATTCTCAGTTGAGCATTAACAAATAATAGTCATAGAGTTGAAGATCTCTTAATTGTTTTACTACTATGACTCAGTAGATGATTTATTATATAATGTTACTCAAACACTAAAAAAAAGTTGTAAATTTTCATAAGGAATCATGTTCTTCAACTATTTCCTCTTTCCTTTATTTCACACAAAATTTCAGTTCACTGTTTGGCAGTAGGTTTTATTTATCTAGCAATACTTTTCTAAAGGTATTTTCTAAATGTTTTTTAAAATATCTATTCCTTCTTTACAATGTGCCCATCAGATTCAACAAGCATGCTTTCTATTTCTTTGGCATGGAAATTAAGACAGTGTTCTATTATAGACTATACAACAGGTTCCCTCATCTTAGCTCAGTGGTTGGCAAACTCATTAGTCAGCAGAGCCAAATATCAACAGTACAACGATTGAAATTTCTTTTGAGAGCCAAATTTTTAAAACTTAAACTATATAGGTAGGTACATTGTTATTAACTTAATTAGGGTACTCCTAAGCTGGCCTTTGCTAAAAACGTCCTCAATCTGAGGGGTCGACCTCAGCGAACGTACCCCCACTTCTTCTAACGCCACTTCTTCAAAATAGACTCACCCAGGCCAAAAACCGACTTCTGCGCATGGGCCATGAAGTTTCAATCGCACTGTACGTGCGCACCCGCACGTGGTATTTTATGGAAGAGCCACACTCAAGGGGCCAAAGAGCCGCATGTGGCTCGCGAGCCGCAGTTTGCCGACCACTGTCTTAGGTTATTATATTAACACATTGAAATAGGAGACCCAACAGTTAGTCTTTCTGATGATTACCAGTATCTTTCCACATGTGGTTTTCCCTGGAACTGGAGAAAACTATGGACTTAGGAGAAAGCATCTCTATTCTGGAATGTAAAATTAAAATAGATTCCCAATAATGTGTGTTAAACTCTGGCAGATTTGATGACTTCTGATCTAGCTCACTTTTTTGTTTTCTTTTTCCACACAGATTGATAGAGCTACATTCTCCCGATAGCAGGAACACATTGATCCTACGCTGCAAGGATACAGCCACCGCACACTCCTGGTTCGTAGCTATCCACACCAACATTATGGCTCTCCTCCCACAGGTGTTGGCTGAACTCAATGCCATGCTTGGTGCAACCAGTACAGCAGGAGGCAGCAAGGAGGTCAAGCATATTGCCTGGCTGGCAGAACAGGTAGGCTGGGCGACAGGGCAGGGTTGCCATTAATAGCCAGGATGGTTCCCCCATTTCATATGTATCATGCAGTCATGTCTGGACATCCGGATTGCAGAGCTTTGTTTATCCTCCCTACCATTTAGCTATTTGTTGCTAATTATCACCACCACCAGAAGAACTGACCGTCATGAGAATCATCATCACAACAAACTAAAAAGAGGCTCTTATTTATCACCTCTCTTCTTAATGACAGAAAATACTTTTCATGATTTTAGAACAGGATAAGCAAACTGTTTCTGTAAAGGGCTAGATAGTGTCACAACTACTTGCCATTGTAGCAATAAAACAGTCATAGACAGTATGAAAATGAATAGGTGTGGCTGTGTTTCCATAAAACTTTATTTACAAAAACAAGTAGTGGGCTGCATTTGGCCCACAGGTCATAGTTTCCCAACCCCTATTCTAGTCTGTTGACAGAGTTTTAGGAACAGCAGGCTTAGTCCCCTGCTCTGGGAAAAGTATAAAATATACAAAGTATTTTACAAGCCATTAGACAGATGTCTTCCCCAACTGAAAAATGAAGAGAAACAAGAGAACCTAAGTGGCTATTGACCGAAGGGAAAGGAAGAACGTAATCCAAGTTTGACTTAAGGGAGACTAAGAGTTCTATGCGATGTATGGTACAGACTTCTTCTTTTGGGTCCTTCACTGTCAGCTGGGCCAGAAGGACTTGAAAAAAGAAGACTGGACTTGGGGTTCAAAGAAGAGTGTTCAAGTGCTAGTTCTGATTTTCACTGGTTTTAGATCTTTTTAAAAGTGCCTTCATCTCTTTAAATCCTGGTTCCTTCATGTGTGTGCAAGGGGGCAGGCAGTTAGTATCAGCCCAGGGTGGTTTTGTTCTTTGATTTTTGTTTTGTGTTTTAAGTACAGTTTCCCAGGTCGCCTCCCCCACCCCCCACCCCTTCCACCTCAAAAGAGTTTTGAGCCCTAACCGGTTTGGCTCTGGATAGAGTCAGCCTGCGGACTCAAGGGTCCCAGGTTCGATTCCGGTCAAGGGCATGTACCTTGGTTGCAGACACATCCCCAGTAGGGAGTGTGCAGGAGGCAGCTGATGTTTCTAACTCTCTATCCCTCTCCCTTTCTCTCTGTAAAAAATCAATAAAATATATTTTTTTAAAAAAGAGTTTTGATTTGGTAGATCTATTGTGAGGCCTGGCAATCTTGTTTGGTAACTTTCAGTGATTGTGTTGTGGACCATTTTGGATTCTACTAATCTATTTTTTTCAGCTCTGAAATTTTTGAACATTTCAAATAATAATTATAATAAATTAGAACATAGAATTATATTACTAACACAAACTTAAGAACCATATATATTCAGATATTTGATCATTTTTAGGGAGCATAATTAGAATAACTAGACAGAGAAGAAACTAATGAAAATCATGTTATAACTACTTATGACTTACAGAAGTTTTAGTCTTTTAGTTATGTTTATCATTGTTTCTATTTTTTATGCAATAGTTGAAAAACACCACTGAATGGTAATTTTTTGTGCTTTCAGCAATAGTAGAAATGTTCATGATTTTTAACAGGTAATAATTCACATAGTTCAAAAATCAGAATAAAAAGTTAAGAGGTGAAAAGTCTTACTCTTTCCTGTCCCCCATCCGCCTAGTTCTCACTCCCAATTCCCCAGAAAGATCATCAATTTCATTACTTTCTAATGATTTGTTTGAAAGTTTCTCTATGCAAATGGGAACATATATCCTTCTTTTCTTCTCTTATGAAAGAAGATAGCATATTATGCACACTATTTTATACCTTGCTCTTTTTTTCATTAAACAGTATGTCCTGAAGATCTTTACATATCAATGAACAGAGGGCATTCTTTTTTCCTTTGTGTGATTGCAGTTAAATAAGCACTCTCCCAATTTCGCTGTTATCGTCTTTTGCCATTATCAATGATGCTGCAATGAATAACCTTGTAGTTTGTTCTTTAAACATGTACTGTCCAAAGTCTGATTCCGAGTTCAGATAAATCAGGGTACAAGGGAACCCACATATCTGAATATATTTGGTTCATAAGTTTGTGTTAGTGAGTATTAAAACTTTGGTCAGAAAGGGATTTATCGAGAAATTCACATCAGTTCCTGAGTTTGGATAATGACAATTCAGAGAGTAGGGGATATTTCTCTATCTGTAGGATAACTCCCAGAAGTGCTGAGTCAACAGGTATATTAATTATCTATTGCTATATAATAAATTACCCCAAGACTTAGTGGCTTTAAAATAACAAGCATTTACCTTACACCGTTTCTAAGGATCAGGAATCTGTTTACAATTTGCCTAGGTGGTGCTGGCCCAGGATCCCTCATGAAGTTGTCAAGCTGTCAGCCAGGGTGGCAGTCATCTGAGGGCTTGACCGGGGTTGGAAGGTCCACCTCCAACACGATTAATTCACATGGCTGTTGGCAGAAGGCCTCAGTTTCTTGCTGCCTGTGGCAGAAGTCGTCAGGCCTTTCCACGGGGCTGCATGAATGTCCTCAAAACATGGCTGATAATTTCCCCCAGAGTGTTGATCTGAGAGAGAGAACAATATGGAAGCTACAGTGCCTTTTATGACCTCTACTTTATTCTGCTTTACTCTTTTCATTAGAACTGTGTTACTATGTCCAAACAGCCTACACCCAAGGGCTTCACCTCTAAAGGGGAAGAATAGTAAAGAATTTGTGGGCATAGTTTTAGTTTTGTTTTGTTTTTAATCCTCATCAGATGATATTTTTGCCCTTGATTTTTAGAGAGAATGAAAGGGAGAAAGGAGAGGAGAAAGAGAGAAACATGGATTGGTTGCCTCTCACAGGTGCCCCCATCAGGGCTGGGGACCTGTAACCGAGGTACTTGCCCTTGACCGGGAATCGAACCTGAGACCCTTTGGTCCATGGGCCAATGCTCTAACCACCGAGAAACCAGTCAGGACATATTTTTAAACTACCACAAAGGGTATGTGCATTTGTAATTTTGATAAATATTTTCAAATTGCCTTCCATAAGCCTTGAACTAATTTAGATTCCCAGCAATGTTAGAGTTGCCAGACTTTTAAAGCGAACTTAATATAGTTCATGCGACATACAGACAAGTCGGAGAAAAATTAAGCCACCAATTCATCACAGTCTGTTTTTTATGGACTGTATTATGTGTGTTTCCTCCACTCATTTGTGAGCTCCTGGAATACAGGAGCACACTTTTTCTAAATCTTTATTGCCACCGGAGAACTTAGCCTTATGCTTTGTATTATAGTAGAAGCGCAGTAATTTTTTTCTTTGTCTCTGTATATACATACAAAAAGCAAGCAAACAAGTCACTAATTATTAAATCTTGTCTAAGAAGACAACTTTAGGGTTCGGAAATAATACTAAGAAGAAAAGTTTCAGCCACTTTAAAAATAGTACCACTGAACTAATTCAAAGTACCGTTTCTAAAATACTCTTGATTTTTACTTTTCTGAGATAGTTGTTTGGGTTACCCAAATTAAATATCACTCTCAGAATAAGGTGTTGAAGCAAGATTGGATAGCATTTCTCAGAAGTATCATGAGCTTATATATATGATAAAGGTTGGACTAGGTACATGCCAAAGTCTTTCTGACCATAAGATTGTTTATGAGTGTGAAAATGGTCAAGATAATTTCAGATCATATAACCTATTTAATGTAGGTAAGCATTTCTTTTGGCAAGAGGTGCATCTCCTGAAAAGTTTTCGTATAAATGAAACCGTTCCAGTTGTACTTGGAAAACATAGTCATTTGGGGCAAATAAATTAAGAAAGGACCATTTAACTTTAAATGATTTCTCCTTAATTTATCCTTTTTGTTATTTCATGTTGTCATAAATTGAGTTTGCTTAAAACAGGGAAAACCTATAATATAGATATTTGGTAACTGATAAATAATCTGTTCTATGCAAAGGAACTTCTCTATTGATACTGATTTTGATGTGACTGATAGTTTACCTTTTAGTTTATATTCTTAAAAGGGAATTTTCTTTAAGTGCATCAAATGGGGGAACATTAATTATCTATAAAATCAGTATTTTTAAGCATTTGAGTATAGGTTAGAAAAGCCAAGACGGGAAAAGAAAACTTTGTTCTCACAGTTCCTGCTTGGTCCCTGATAATTCCCCAAATGTGTAAAGACTCAAAGTAGTATTAGTGAAATGGTTTACTTAGTATTTGCTCTGTGTTTTCTATTCTAAAAAATAAAGAAGTACATCACTTGTCAAAAAGATTTATTAGATTAAGAGATTTTAGGGAAAGAGTAGTAACTATTAGTATTTTTTCATCTTTAGTGCTATCTAACTCTATTTATTCAAAAATAAAATTTGCAGAAGGGTCTTATTTGGCCAGAGTATATGCAGGCGTATGGATGTGTGGATGTTGAAACACAAGCAAACAAAAACCCTAACATTAGTGTCCCTTTTTTCTCCAGCCATAACCTCAATAGTGGAGCCCCAACGCTGCTTGCACTGATACCACAACTGAAAACACAAGCTATATATAGCAGGCAGCATTTGACTTCTGTAAAAGCAAACAGTATCTTTATAAGTTAAGGCAAATAGGCAAACAGAATGACTTAAATTGAGGCTTTCTTATTCTCCAATGGTAAGTAGAAAAGGGAAAAGATATTCTCCAAAATCTAAGGACTCAAGAGAGCTAAAGAATAAATACTTTTTAAATTTTTTAATTGAATAAAAAGTTTTTTATCTTGAAATTGAATATTCTATTGACATTTGCAGTTTTCTTTAGAGCCTAAAATATCTTCCTTGGGAAGAAATACATTTCATTTAGGTTTTCCAAATCCATATACTCTGATCTAGCCTTCAAAATCTCTTTCTTACAACTTAGGAGATCATTAATTTTTTAAAAATCAGATGATCATTTTAACCCTTTGGGAAGATAGATGTTACATTATTTTCCCTATTGAAATATTATCCATAACAATTTCAGAGACAAAGACTTAGTAGTAATCATAAACTAGAACTCCCTTTGGGGTACCTGTGACCCAAAAATGTAAGAATCTAGAAAACCTATTTAGAGATGGCATTCTCTCTCCAGACATTACAGTTACTTATGGACTAATATAGAGTCCTAGAAAATTTGGGTTCACTGGTAAGAAAAGTATAATTATTTCTACAATAATTTGCTTGAATTCTGAAAGTCAGATCACGTATTTCTGTGCTTTCAGCACACAGTAGAACAAGGGTCACTTCACTGAGTGGAATCCATTTCCCACTCCTGGAACCAGCTGGGGGCTCTAGCTAGGAGGAAAGAGCCCGAGTGGCAGTTGTAACACACAACAGAACCACTTAGGCCATTTTTCAGATTATAAATTTATTCTTAAGGTGCTCTAACATGTCCAGATTATCTTCAGAAGTCATTAAAGAGGAGAAAATGAAAAGGGGCTCTGAGACATCTCTTTAAGAGACAAGTGATTCAACAATTTGGATTCTCCTTGAAGCCATCTGTCACTGTGATGATAGTGAGCTGAAGAATCAGTGTTAAAATACACTGTTGTTAAGCATGGTCTGCTCAAAGATCTTATCTCATGAGGGCAAATGTTTTGCTTAAATTTATTTACTTACTGATAGATTTTACAGAGAGGAAGGGAAGGGGGGGTAGAGAGAGGGAGAGAGAGAGAGAGAGAGAGAGAGAGGAGAGAGAGGGAGAGAGGGAGAGAAAGAGAGAGAGAGAGGAGAGAGAAACATCAATTTGTTGTTCCACTTATTTATGCATTCATTGGTTAATTCTTGTATGTGCCCTGACTGGGGATCAAACCTGCAACCTTGTTGTGTCAGGAGGATGCTCTAACCAACTGAGCTACCCGACCAGGGCCATGAGGACAAATATTTTGATGATACCAAAGCTTTTTCTGAATGTAGTCTTTTGCTTTTGGGCCTTGGATCCTTGACAGTATGGATAAACAGTGGTGGTTTTCCTTTATTTTAAACCCTCAGATCATTGAACTTGATGCAAGTAAATGCAATGGTATGTTTGAAACTGAAACATAAACTTCCTAAGTATAATAGAGAAATATTTGACAATAGTTTATATGAGTGTTTTCCAGAATACAACATAGTAGGTCATCAGCATTTAAAAAAAAAATAGAAATGATCAGAGTACACTGCACAAAATATAGGGATTATATTGTGTTGGAAATTTTTACATTCAGTTATTTATATATGTGTGTGTGTATTGGGTTATAATGTAAAATATTTTTTTCTTTTTTAAAAAATATTTAAATCAGGTTTTTAAATTCTTTATTATTGAAAGTATTTAAAATATATATTGTGTTGGAAATTTTTACATTCAGTTATTTATATGTGTGTGTGTGTATTGGGTTGTAATGTAAAATATTTCTTTTTCTTTTTTTAAAAAATATTTAAATCAGGTTTTTAAATTATTTATTATTGAAAGTATTTAAAATACATTTCTTACAAAAAATATTGGAGAAATACTGATGTTTAGAAAATATGGATGGAGAAACAAATGGAGACCTGCTATGTCAGACCACCACTGAATGGACTTTTATAATTACATATCGTTATAGTTAGCTCTGCTTTCTGGATTTCACCATTGTAACAGGCAAAACTAGATGGTGGAAGACAACAGTGGAGACCTGTTCTCATGGCTGTGACTGAGAAGGACTTGCTGCTTTATGACTGTATGCCATGGACAAGGGATGCCTGGGCATCACCATGTCACAGCTACCCTCTTGTTGCCACAAGGTAAGACAAAAGACACAAAAAGAAAGTATCTGTCCTACTCTAAATCTTCTAAAGAATTTTAAAGTGAAGTCTATTATCTTAGGTGCCTAAAATAGGATTTAAGTAGCTGACATAGTTGATTTAGACAAAAACTTTTATTTCACAACCTGATTATTTTGCTTCTCCTAGTTCAGAATAAATGGTTTCTGTCATTAGTATTTTTGTGCGCATTTTTTAAGTTGTTGAAGCCGCTTTCTAACTGCTCCCTTTAAGACTTGCTTAGTCATGAATATAAGTAAATAGTGTGTGTGTTTTTTCCTTTACTTTATTGACTGTGACTACAAAACCACTGAAATTGTGGTAGCCTCTTGACCGAGTGATGAAATCATTTAAACCAGAATGTGGTACTGTGGATAAACCACACAGCTCAGCCAAAATATTCTTCAATTTCTCTTTCTGGTAGAAGAGCACATACTTTTGATTCCATCAAATAAACATTGATTTGACCTGAAGCAATGGGATGTTTCTAGCATGCTAGAAGTGGGGAGTTGGAAGCACAAAGAACAGAGAAATATAGATTTGGATGCCAATATGTCTTGAGAGAGAACTGGAAACTAGTTACCTTGTGTTAAACTAGAAGACATATTGCACATGCAGTTTTATTGAAGCTTTAAAAAGAATCAGGGTTTTTTTGTTGTTGTTTTTTATTGATTAAGTTATTGCATATGTGTTCATATCCCTCCCATTGCCCCCAAGAATCAGGTTTTGATGTAACTCAGAAACTACACATTAAAAAGGAGCCCCACAGAAAAGCATTTGGTACTCAAAAGAGCTAAATGTTGAAACCATCTGGTATGTCCCACAGGGAACAGTGGGGAGCAGTCCTGCTTTGAGCAAGCAAAGATTTATGCGAGGAAGGGTATTCCTTACATTACAGGAAGACTTTCATGTTATATAGGACTTCCTGCAACTTGCCACGCTCCCTTACATATATCTTTTTTTTTTTTTAATAAAAATACAATTTTTACATAGCTTTTCAGGAGTGTCTCTATGATTTAGAGCTGGAACACCTAGATCACAGAATAGAGACAAGGGATTTGTTGAGCCTTAGAATGAGAGAGGTCCACTCATTAAGTCCTTCAGGTCATAAGGGTCCTGCAGGAAGACTGACTCTAACCGTCAGTTTCTCTTGTTTTGTTTCTTTTTTTTTCTTTTTCTTTTTTTTATATATTTTATTGATTTTTTACAGAGAAGAAGGGAGAGGGATAGAGAGTTAGAAACATCGATGAGAGAGAAACATCGATCAGCTGCCTCCTGCACACCCCCCAGTGGGGGTGTGCCCGCAACCAAGGTACATGCCCTTGACCGGAATCGAACCTGGGACCTTTCAGTCCGCAGGCCGACGCTCTATCCACTGAGCCAAACCGGTTCGGCTCTTGTTTTGTTTCTTAATCCCCACTAAATTATAACCTTGAGTTAAGAACTGTGACTTAGCCATCTTAGTACTTCCTATAATGCTTTGCATATAGTAGGCCCTCATTAAATCTCAGTTGAGTTAAATTCTGTTACTTAAGTTATAGTTTCTCTGTCATGGTTATATTGGAAGCATGACAGGAATCCTATGAAATCATGTGGACATGTCTCAGTAATTATAAGTGCAGCGATTAAATTTATATTTTCCAAAGAGTTAAGCTTATGACTATGACTGTAGAGATTGCTTAAGTTTAAATTTCAGGGTAAAAGCTTATTCTCTAGTTATGATTATAAAATGCAAGGAAGGTAGTTTTATTCTTAGACCTTTCCTTAATTGTGGCACTGTGACATTCCATAGGTGAGCCTTTGTTTAATACTAGAAATTACAATCCCATGAACAACTAGGTTCTGGCCATAGGCTAGACAAGTCCTAGACTACAAAAGCACTTTGGTACTAAGGAAGGAAATGGGTGTTTGTGTTTGTACTATTAGTGTGGTATTAATTTGCAACTAAAGAAAAGTTAGAAATAAATTTAAGAGTTAAAATTATAACAGGAGTAGATCTTCATGACCTTGGCTTGGGCAGAGCTTTCTTAGATAGAACACCAAAAGTGTAAGCAACAAAAAATAAGTCAATTAGACTTCATCAAAATTTTTTTAAAAATTTGTGCTTCAAATGTCACCATCAAGAAAGTGGAAAAAAACAAAAAAGAAAGTGAAAAGACAACCCACAGAGTGAGAGAAAATATTTGCAAATTATATATCTAATCAGGATCTTGTATCTAGAAAATAGAAAGAACTCTTACAGCTCAATAATAAAAAAATAAATTACCCAATTAAAATGGGAAAAGGATATGAATAGACATTTGTCCCAAGAAAATATACAAATAGCTAATAAGCCCATAACAAGATGCTCAACATAATTAGCCATCAGGGAAATGCAAATCGAAATCACAGTGCGATAGATACCTCTTCCTACCCACTAGGATGCCTATAAGTAAAAAGACATATAATAACAAGTGTAGACTGGCATGTGGAAATGAAACCGTCATACACTGGCTCCTGGAAATGAAAATGGTGCAGTCAATGTGGAAAACAGTCTGGAAGTTCCTCAAAAGGGTAAACAGAGTCACCGTATGACCCAGCAATTCCACTCCTATGTTGTATACACAAGAGAAACAAAAACTTATGTCCACCCACAAAATTACACATGAATGTTTATAACAGCATTATTTATAAAACCCAAACAGTGGAAGCAACCCACGTTCATTCAAATAATGAATGAATAAAATATGATATATCCATACAATAGAATATTGTTTGGAAATAAAAAAGAGTAAGATTTTGATAAACTCTGCAATATGGATGAGCCTTGAAAACGTTATGCTAAGTGGAAAGGAGCTAGACACAAAAGACCACATAGTATTTGATTCCATTTGTATAAAATGTCTAGAATAGGCAGAGCTATAGAGACAGAACAATTAGTCATTGCCAGGAATATAGGGTGGGGAGTGGGAGAAACAATGAGTATAGGATGTCTTTTGGAAGTAATGAAAATGTGCTAAAATGCAATGTGGTAGTGATTATATAACTTTGAATGTACCAAAATCTATTGAACTATACATTTTAAATGGGCAAAGTGTATGGCATGTGAATTATATATTTCAATAAAGATGTTATAATTAAAAAAATACAATGCCATTTAATGGAAGGGACTAAGGCCAATCCTTAATAAACTTGAGTTTGAATCCTTATTTTGCCACTTCTAGTAGGTAATTGGGAGCATGTTACTTAACCTTTCTGTTCTATAGATTTTTCATTTGTTAATGAAACTCTAATGAGATAGGGCGGGTGTGAGTAATAAATGAGTTAATACTTGTAAAATGCCTACAATGGTACCTAACACGTTGTTAGCTGCTTTAATTATAAGAATAATAATTTATTATTAAGTGAAAATAAGTCAAAGAAGAATTCTATATAAAAAATATAATTGGTTTAATTTGGCCATTGTTAAAAGAGGAGTTTAGTTTTACAACAGCTTTTACAAATAGTGAAAGTTTCATATTAAATGTGAGGAATTCAAATGTATTATTTGGATCAACCTAGACATGCAAATTGAAATTGTCCATTAATTAAATGGGTGGGGCCTGTAGCTCCCTGAACATGTTTCATGCTAAGAGTAATTAATGTGACAGCAGGGATTCTTAACTCCTTGTTCAGGAAGTACCAGTGGATTAGGAACATAGATGACAGGCAGATGAGTTTAGTTTTTCCATGTGGCCATCTCCACCAGGTGGAATTGGTTTAAGACAGTACATGATATAATTAAGTGGGATTTTATCATCCTCTGTCTCCCAGAGTGGGTAGAGTATGGTCACTGAGAGAGAGGCCCGAGGATGGAACCAGACCAGGAGGTTTACCACAAAGAAAGGCAAGGCCAGAAAGTGGTGTGCTTGTGTCTTTTTAGTGTGGGGGAAAGAGAGGGTTTGAGATTTATATGAGTAACTAGAGGCCCAATGCATGAAAATTTGTGCAAGAGTAGGCCTTCCTTCCCCCAGCTGCCAGCACCAGCTTCCCTCTGGCACCCGGGACCCGGGTTGGCTTCCCTCCAGCCCCAGCTTCATCAGGAAGGACGTCCGGAATGATGTCCAGAAGACGTCTGGTCTAATTAGCATATTACCCTTTTATTAGTATAGATGAGAAAGGGCTGAATGTTCACTTTTCACTGATTCTATCTCTAATACTTACGAGTGGATGAGACAAGAAAAAAAGATAGCATAAACACATAGGGAAGAAAAATTAAGGACCTTGATTATCCACAAAAGTAGATGGTCAAAAATCAAAGAACATTGTCAGGGTAGTGTAATTTAAATTACCATGAGTTATCATTTATATTGGCTTGCACCCCTACAGATTCTTGTGTGTGTGTGTGTGTGTGTGTGTGTGTGTGTGTACTTAAATAGCTGATATTTCAGGCTGGTAAAGAATTAAGTAAAACATTAAAGTGGTAAATGAAGAGGATTTTTATTTATATTTTTATTTTTATTTTATACATCTCGTGAGATTAAAGCCAGATACATGATAGAAGTAGAAGAACACATTGGTTTTAAAGGTGCTGTGGGTTTTGTAGGATATGCATTTTGTCATCTTTTTCAGTAAGCTCTCTTTGGAGGAGAAAAAGATCCAAAGAAAGTGTGACTACTTTACAGTGTGGAAAAGGGAGTGGTGGTGTGCTTGTAGCACTTACAGGGAAAAGCTGCTAAAACGCCTTTGCGTGAGCTCATCTGGCCTCCCCACTAAAGGGGGCCTTTTGGCGGCGTGCGCTAACTAACTGCTCATAGCAAAACTCCAGCAGCTGGTTTGCATTAGATTCCCTCTGCCAAATATTTCATAATCAGATCTGTAGGAAACATTTTCCTAGACTTTATTTTTTTAATGTCTGACTTGGGATTAACAACCAAACTGAATATGGTAGACCGCACCCTGTCACTTTCCCCATGCTCTGCCTTACTTGGATGATATGTGGAGTAATTTTGAAGCTTGTTTAACTCTTGCTGAAATAGCTAATGTTTAAGTGGCATGTTAGTTCTCTCGGAATCAACTCAATGAGGCGGTTCTCAAAGTCTACTTTCATGGACCTCTGGGGATCCCTTCTTCAGGGGATCTGAAGATGAGTTCAAAATTATTACTAAGAAATAACTTGCTTTTTTCACTGTTGACATTTGCACTGAGAGTTGGTAAAATTGCTGGTGCCTTATCATGAATCAAGACAATTGGCACCAAACTGTATGACTTGGAGGGGGTGGGAGGATGCCAATTTAACCTAAAAATGTCTTTGTTGGAGCAGTAAAAATTATTCGTTTTATTAACTCTCAATCCTTGAGTATTCATCTTTTTAATATTGTGAAGTATGGTGGTTTTCTCAAAAGAAAAGCACCTGTGTATTTGAGTTGTGAGCTGAACTTGCTGTGTTTTTCATGGAACACCATTTTTTACTTGAAATAACAACTGGCTGACAAACTATGGTAACTGAGACTTGGGTATTCGTCAGACATTTTTCTCTAAAATGACCAAAATGATTTTGTCACTTAAGAAAAACACGGGTAGTATTTGTTGTCAATTATAAAATTCTAGCTTTCAAACAAAAATTGGAATTCTGGCTGAAACCGGTTTGGCTCAGTGGATAGAGCGTCGGCCTGCGGACTGAAAGGTCGCAGGTTCGATTCCGGTCAAGGGCATGTACCTGGGTTGCGAGCACATCCCCGGTGGGAGATGTGCAGGAGGCAGCTGATCGATGTTTCTCTCTCATCGATGTTTCTAACTCTCTATCTCTCTCCTTTCCTCTCTGTAGAAAATCAATAAAATATATTAAAAAAAAAATTGGAATTCTGGAAAACGTGTATCTGTCCCTGTGAGTTGACAGCTTTCCAGCACCTAAAGAATTTTCTGATGATGTAACAGTAATTATCAATAAATATAATGGATGCAAACAAAAGCATTTTAATTTCTAATTATCATTAAATATAACGAATGTAAACAAAAGCATTTTAGAGTACAGTTTAGTGCTTCTCAACTGTAGCCTCACACTTGAACCATCTGTAAGTGAGGTGTTAGCAAATGTCACTTTTTGATATTGTATAATGAGATAGTTTAAACATTTGGAAAATCTGCATAGCTCAGTGAAAAAATATTTTCCAAGTGACCAATGAATGATGTTACAAAATCATGCAAGCATATAAAAAAGATCCATTCAAAATGCAAGAGAAACCAGTGGATTTTTAATGTAACAGGATATTAACTTTATTGGTAAGGTTTCAGATCCTACAATGCAGCTGACCTTTAAGAAAGCACTTGATGCCTGGATGCAGTTGCTCAGTGATTGAGCGTAGACCTATGAACCGGGAGGTCAGGGTTTGATTCCCAGTCAGGGTACATGCCCAGATTGCAGGTTTAATCCCCAGTGTGGGGTGTGCAGGAGGCAGCCAATGAATGATTCTCTATCATCATTGATGTTTCTATCTCTCTCCCTCCCCCTTCCTCTCTGAAATAAATAAAAATATATTTAAAATATTTTTTTAAAGCCCTAGTTGGTTTGGTTCAATGGATAGAACGTCAGCCTGTGGACTGAAGGGTCCCAGGCTTGATTCTGGTCAAGGGCACATGCCCGGGTTGCAGGCTCAATCTCCAGTAGAGGGTGTGCAGGAGGCAGCCAATCAGTGATTCTCTCTAATCATTAATGTTTCTATCTCCCTCTCTCTCTCCCTCTCCCTTCCTCTCTGAAATCAATAAAAATATGTTTTTTAAAAAAGAAAACACTTGGAGTTTTGGTTCAGTGGACAGGATATCCACAAATATCTCAAAGGCTATTAAAATACTTCCTTTTCTAGCTGCATACTGTGTGAGGCTGGGGTTTCTTCATATACTTCAACTACATACTGCAACAGAATGCAGAAGCTGATAGAATTCAGCTACCTTTCATTAAGCTGGATATAAGAAAATTTGTAAAAAATTAAAATAGTGCCACTCTTCATTAAATGTTTTTGTTTTGGAAGATATTTTAATAAAGAGAAGTTATTTATATTAACATGTCAATGGGGAAAAAAGGAGACATGTACTACTGTTTGTAATACCTTAAACAATAAATTAATTTTAAAAAAACATGACAGGTTTATTATTTTTAAATGAATTAATAAATATTTTTAAATTGCTCAGTTTTAATTTCTAATTATCAATAAATATAATGGATGCAAACAAAAGCATTTTAGAGTACTCAGTAGTTTTTAAGAGTATAGAAGGGTGCTCAGACAAGAATGTTGGCAAGCCACTAGTTTAGTGCTTCTCAACTGTAGCCTCACACTTGAACCATCTGGAAAAATTTTAATAAAGTTTCCTGGGCCACACCCTAGACCAGTTAAGTCTGAATTTTTGAGGATGTGAGCCAGGCATCAGTCATTTTTAAAAGCTATTTACCAGGTGATTCTAGTATACAGCCAGGGTTGAGAACTATAGTAATTAACTTGGTTAAACCAGTTGGTGGATTAGAAGAAATTGCCTTTTCTTTAAGAAATGCACTCTTGCCTTTTATCTGAACCAATAGTGACTCCCTGACAACTAAGGGCAATGTAAAGGAGCACCCATTTGCTCTTAGATGTGTTCTTCCTCAGGTTGTTAGAGGAGTGAAGGAAGGAACCAACATATTTGTAGAAAATATTATAGGTATACAGCCTACCATGAAGCCAACAAGACATTTTTTTTCTCTTTGCTGTACATTTCTTAGTCAAGTTTTTAAAAATTCTGTATGGAAAACATTGTCGGCTGGATTTCTAATAAGTGAGGAAGTATGTACTTTCATACTGATCACTTAGAACTTATAGGAAATATTTTTTGGAAGAAGTGAATAAATTGAACTGTATTAAGTGGTTGCCATGAAACAAAATGTTGAATAGTTTAATGACCCTAAAGAAAATTACTTTTCTCTTGTTTTTTTCCACATGTGTACTTCACTGTGTGTGGGTTTTTTTAGCAGTTTCATTGAGGTATAAACTGTGGACTTTGGGTGATTATGATGTGTCAGTGTAGGTTCATCCTTCGAGTGTGCACACACACACACAAATATATATATATATTTACACACACACACACACACACACTAATCTGGTGAGTGAGGTTGATAAAGAGAGCAGCTATGCATGTGTAGGGGCTTATCATTTTCTAAACAGAATTGAACCTTTTATTGATATGCATAGCCTCTTGGGAGCATAAAAATGTCAGTGGGAAATTGGGGACTTGTGCCTGTGACACCAAGGGTCATTTTATGGGAAAACAGAATGGTATCTACTTATATGGAAATGTACTTCTCCAAACACTGCTGATGGCTTTTATAATTTTCTGCGTATCAGCCGGCATCAATTACTGACATCTTCCTCTGACAGTACATTAAGTACTTTTAACCTTTGCTCTGTTTGTGGTCCTAGGTTGGTTCATTCTGGCTCTGGATGTCGATCACCCTCCCTTGGTTCTGACCTCACGTTTGCTACCAGGACAGGCTCTCGGCAGGGCATTGAGATGCATCTCTTCAGGGTGGAGACACATCGGGATCTGTCCACCTGGACCAGGATACTCGTTCAGGGTTGCCATGCTGCTGCTGAGCTGATCAAGGAAGTCTCTCTAGGTATAGATCCTGGCATTTCACTTATAATAGTAATTAAACGGAACTGTTTTTATACGTAAAGTACAAGTCATTATCATGTGTACCAGACTTTAAAATGTTCTGAAATATGGCAGCTTAAAGTGATCATGATGGGAAGAAACCTGGTTTCTTTGTTTTAATAGCGAAGTTTTTCCAAGCCTTGTACATGGCTCTGAGCACATTCATAAAACCCTCTGTACAAGATGGCAGTTTTACTGTTCATCATTTTATTTTATTTTTAATATATTTTATTGATTTTTTACAAAGAGGAAGGGAGAAGGATAGAGAGCTAGAAACATTGATGAGAGAGAAACATCAATCAGCTGCCTCCTGCACACCCCCAACTGGGGATGTGCCCACAACCAAGGCACATGCCCTTGACTGGAATCGAACCAGGGACCCCTCAGTCCCCAGGCCGACGCTCTATCCACTGAGCCAAACCGGTTAGGGCTGTTCATCATTTTAATCTGTCTGATAACATAAAGACTCATTTACCAAGTACTAGATGCATTGACCCTCTAGTTAAGATTTGGAATATAAGATATAGATAGATACCCTTAAAATAGCTTATGGCTATAGAAAAATAATTTGGAATACAAGTTTCTTTTCAAAAGTTTGAAGATGTGTACCCAATACTTATTGAAATAAGCATCTGAAGGAATTAATTTTGGCGATCTCTTTCCATTCTTAAAGCGCCCTCTTGTGGCTAGTCTATATGATTAGGGGTGTGGTTTCATATGTATGCACAGTATTTGTGTATTATGCACCGTATATATGTACAGATATTTCCAGATTGCCTTTCACTTTAATAAGAACAGAGAATAGTCAAAATTAATACACAATTACAGTTTCTAATATAGTTTGAATTGCTTTAAATATCTTGGTTATAAGTTGGTTTACTTAATTTTGCTGCTTTTATCCATGATTTTATTTTATAGACCTAGTTTTACAGAATTTATAAAAGAGAAAATGTTTCAAGAGCAGAAAGTCTTGTGATTTATCTTTCTTTCTGTTGCTTCTTGAAAGCGAGGGAGCCCATGGCTTAGAAGTGCAGGGGCACAGGGACAGTTTTTTAGTGTTGTCAGATAGTGCAGATCTTCATCTATTTAGGACGTCGATATTTTCCTCACAGCCACAGTGACGATCCAAGCAGTGACACCAGTGACTAGTAAGAACCCACCGTGGGTTTTGACCAAAGCCACCACATCCACTCTGTCCTTCTCAGTGGTCTGTCTCCTGTCTGTTTTCTCTGTGAAGTGGTTGGTCACCACATTAAGGGCTGCGGGGCTCTAGTTTTCATCTTGACCACAGACTGTGCTTTCTGGGATGGCCAGTGCTCAGTCTGAAAGGCTGTGATGCTCTGTGTTCCTGTGCAAGCCTGAGCAATCAGGCCAGCACACCCATCCTGGCATCTGGGGTCATCAGATCTTCTCCGAGGATCCGGAGAGATATGCTTCCCAAGCAAAGAGTTCAACTTGGATTTTTAACATTTTTTAGTTTCGAGTTGTTTCTTTGGTGTCTGGGAGCCAAACTGTATCTTCCAGGAAATAAAAAATCTATTTAGTCCCCGGCTCACAATTGTTTAAATAGAGACGGTTTGAGGAGGAGAATAAAGACAGCTGGTTTCTTTTATTTTTAAATAGACAAAAGAAACATTTTTAGGTAGATTTTGAACTTTTTGTTCTCATTCACAGCCTTATTTAACCATTTCCTTGGTAATACTTTCATTTTCACAATTCAGGTCAACTGATGTGCTATACCTGTTAATCACTTACTCTATAGAGGTCTGCCAGATATATTAAACTGGCTGAAGGGAAACTGCTTTGGTGAAAGTCAAAGTTTCTTTAAAACGTGTGTGTGTGTACATGCACATACTCATGTGTGCACACTTAGTCTGCTGTCTTAATGTGTGTATACTTAGTGCACACATTTGCATATATACACACATACAAACATAAAACAAGCATGTTCTTTAGATACATGTTACCACCTTCTGGTCCATTGATTCAGAAAGGTTCATTTAAAACCAGTTAACTGCCACGCGTCCAAAACGGAAACCATCCCCACACGCCACGATATTTTGAATTTAATTTAAAAAATCAATTTGCAATGAATATTATAAAAATAAATATATTACTCACAATTCGGGTGTTCTTGAATATTTTCAGCTGAAAAATTTTTAAAGTTGGTCAGGGCTGCCACTTGGGGAAATTGTTTGTTCTTTTTATAGATGCACGTGGCGTGTGTGGAAGGTCCACCACTTGCGTTTACAGGCGCTTATGGCATACAATGGGTAAAGCTATAATTGTGGCCCTAGCCAGTTTGGCTCAGTGGATAGAGCCTTGGCCTGTGGACCAAAGGGTCCCAGGTTCGATTCTGGTCAAGGGCACGAATCTTGGTTGCAGGCTCCTCAGGGCTCGTGCAGGAGACAACCGATCGATGTGTTTTTCTCACATCGATATTTCTCTTTGTCTTTCCCTCTCTCTTCCACTCTCTCTCAAAATCAATGGGGAAATATCCTTGAGAGAGGATTTAAAAACTA